GGCACGCGTCACCATGCCTGGCTAATTTTTTCCATTTTTAGTTGTTTGGCCAATTTCTTTCTATTTTTAGTAGAGACGGGGTCTCGCTCTTGCTTAGGCTGGTCTTGAACTCCTGAGCTCAAACGATCCACCCGCCTCTGCCTCCCAGAGTGCTAGGATTGCAGGCGTGAGCCACCGCGCCCGGCCCTTGAATTCAGTTTTTGACTCTGCCATTTGTAGTCATAGTTGAGTGACTAAGGGACATTAGTGTCCTTGAGGATGCATTAAAAGAAAAGAATGGCACCTTCTTCTCAGAGCAGTTGTTTTGAGTATCAAGTGGCTTATGTGTAAGCGTGTAGCTTCCCCAGAGTGTATGTTTAATGTGTATTCCTTCTCTACTTTCTTCTGTTCTGGAAATTTTTAATGCTTTTATGTACTACTAACTTCTGGTAACAAGCAGTGAACTTAATGTTAATACTATGGGCACTGAATTATGTTTTCTCCTTCCTGAATTTATTTGTGCTTTAAGGAAGAGGAACATGGAACACGTCATTTAGATCAAAACATTTACTTCATAGAATCATTTTCAGTGATTTGAAAGTACTTGGTTAAAGCTCTATCACTCCTTCCTAGGAGAAGAGTCAAATGTGGGTTAACTGTGAGCCTTTCATTTGTCATCTGCCCTATAAACGCAACAGAGGGGTGTCTGGGACCAGGAGGGATTATGAGTGTTATTCATATATGTGTACATATGTGAGATAATGTACAAGTAATATCTAGAGGTATAATGGAGGATTAAAATAGGGAATTTTGTGTGACTTTGTTTTTTATTTTGAAATGTAGACTCTTGAGCTGTGGAGGAAATTGGTATCGACCGCTAAATAGTCATGCTACTTTGCTGAACAAATATTGGACCAAAATACACCTGGATAACTTGGATAAGACAGAACTGAATGAGGTATGTGGGCAACAGAAAGTATCAGTGCATTTCTTTAGTTTTTATTATGAAAAGTTCCAAACTTACACGAAAATAAAGGAAATAGTATAATGAACCACCAAAATTCTCACCAGCCTGAATTTTAATACTGTGTGTTCTAACATTTTATTGTAGTTGCATCATCTATTATTTTTTGTTAATATATTTGAATGTAAACCCCCTAACGTTTCACCCTTAAATACTAAAATAAAGCATACATTTCTAAAAATTTAAGAGCATTTTCGTATATAGCCACAATAATATTATACCCGATAAAATGAACAGTAATTTCTTAGTGTCATTTAATTCTTAGATTATATTTAAAACTTTTCTCAGTTGTCCCCACAATCTTTTTACTAAGTTGATTTGTAACTAATGTCTTTCACACCTAACAACTTAATGCACGTTTTGATCTGGGCATTAATGAGAATTGAGGTGAATTATTGTACAGATTTTATACATCGATTCACTTTGTAGTATTGCTGATTATTGTAAATCACTAAGAGGTATCACTTTACAGTGCTTATCCCCCACTTCCCTTTGTATCTAGGAGCATTCACCCTCTGATGTACTTTATGTATGTCATATTTAGATAGTTGACTTTGAGAAGCTTTCTTATTATTTTTGAAATCCAGACTTACTAATCTTAGTAACACTCCTTAATAATTGCCTAGTGGCTAAAACTCTTGTATATATTACTTAGGAAATAACAAAAGTCTCCTATGTTGAATTCATGGAGAACACAAGGAACTGCATTTCTGTTGCTGCTACTCCCAGATCTCTTGTGCCTAGAAAGATACAGTCTTTGACTTTTTACTGAAATAATAAATTATACTTTAAAAAAGTAAGCTATTTACAGAGTGCTATTCTCATACATAGTAGGTGCCAGGAACTCGCCACTGGCATTTTTTCAAACCTTGTCTCCCCCATATACCTTGAATGTGCCCGAGTGTCTTAAGTGTCTGAAGTCTTACGTCTTAGATGGCCTGCTCTCTCTGCTGGTAGTGCCCACTTACAGCCATTGGTGACCTCTAACAGGTGCTCTGTGAGACTTTCCTGGGTCTCCCAAGCAGGGCTGACCACATCGTCCTGTGTGCTGCGGGCTGCATTTGCTTGCATATCTGCTTCTCACGCCAGATGGAGCTTTTTGAGGGTGGACTTCATTCCTTATTTATTTTGTTTCCCCATCCCTGGAGCACTGTTTGATAAAAAATAGGTACTTAATATATGCTTATTAAAGGAACGAATTCCCAAAATACGTATCAAATTGGTAATAGACTCATTTCATGTCAGGTTAGTTTTTAAGTGATAATGTGTTTAATGTTGACATTTAAGGTAATAATAAAACATATTTTTTGCCTAAGATAGAAAATGACTGCATAGAGAGTACATAAAAATCTTTTCTATTCAGACCCCTTTTTCCACATAGCTCAGCCTTTACTGAAGTGTTAAACTTGATAAAGTGTTTTTCCATGTAAAAATAGCTCCCCCCATCATAAATACAACACATGCTTATATAATGGAATTCCTACTCAGTAGTCAAAACAAATGAGCTTTTGATGCATACACTAATGTCTAGATGAATCTTAAAAACATGCTAAGTAAAAGAAACCAAAACTACAGATTACATCCTGTATGATTCCGTGTATATGACAGACCTGAAAGACAAAACCGTAGTGATGGGAATTAGGTTCATGATTCCCGGGGCAGGAGTGTAGGGAAGGGATCGATTATTGCAAAAGAGCACAAGGGAATGATGGAAATAATCTGTATCTTGTCTGTGATGGTGGTTTTGTAATTATATAGTACATTTGTCAAAACTCTGCATCTGAAACAGTGAATTTTCCAGTGTGTAAATTATAGCTTAGTAAACGTGACTTATAAAAAATAAACTTATTAAGGCTTTCTTTGTGCCTAAATATGTGACCCATTTTGTAAATGTTCTCCCCATACCCAAAAACGTATATGAAAGATCTATTGATCGAATTTGTTGATTTTATTATTCTTTGTGTTTATTTTTTACTGCATTTGAAATATATACGTTAAACAATATTTGTTGTAAAATCCTTCAGTAAAAGAAGTACAGAGAAATAAAATCTATAAGATCTGCCAGTTGAGATGACACTGTTAAGGTTTTAGTTCCATATCTTTTGTAAATATGTGGACGTGTACAAAACATGAGAATATTACATACAAAAATTGGAATCACATGTACTTTTCAAGCGAATTTAACTGTATTCGATGTTAGTATTTCTAATATATATGTATTTCCCTGCCTTCTCAAACAGACTTGAGTAAAAGAAGTACAGAGAAATAAAATCTATAAGATCTGCCACTTGAGATGACACTGTTAAGGTTTTAGTTCCATATCTTTTGTAAATATGTGGA